GCGACTTGCGACATCAGTAGCGATCATAACAGCTGCCTAAAAGGAATACTATTGAATGCACTAATGTAAAAAGAACGCCAACATCACACTATTAGTAGCACTGAATCACCATATTACAAAAATAATATGATTATGAAGCTGGAAATAGTACCTCTTTGTTCTCAAACTTCTGGAACACATCGATACGCTTCTTTTGGTTCATGGTGCCCCACAATCCCATGACAGGTAGTCCAGGGCGGAGATGACAGAAAGCTCCAGTTAGGAAACGCGCCTTAATGACATAGAAAACTGCAGCAAAATCGAGAGAAAAACGGAAATGTCGTTCATAGGTGTAAGGGCAAGTTATAACGATTCCCCTTTCTCGCCTAACCCTGAATGGGTAAGATGGCGGATTCCCTAACCCGGACAACTTTCAACCAATTGTTATTCCTTTGGAGGAGTACCACTACCCCAAAGAACTGAACGTTCCTAGCTATCGTCTGAGGTTTAAACTAACCACTAGATCACTTAGAGCTCAACAAATTAGTGCAATAGCTCAAATTACTAATGAGATGGGTCTTGTAAGGAAGGAAAGAAGGCTCCATTTCCTGGATTGAGCTCAGTCACCGATGAAACACACGAACAGGAAATATGATGGCCCAATAAATTAACCAATAGGAAATCATTAATGCCAAAGCGACACAGTTCGGCTTGGTGGTGGCGACAAGGGGTACTCAGTGAAGTCTGTACAGGCCACCTTGTGAAAACCTCTACACTTGGTAAACAAAGTGGCACTTGTACCATTTTGCAGCTACACAGGCGTACAAGTATTACCAAAAAAGGCTTGTAGCCAACATGAACTAGCAGGGCTAACAAGCGATACTGCAAAATGCCCGTCCCAAGCCGAACACCGACCTGAATTCTACCACCTCTCGAGAAGCATTTATAAACCATGAACTAGAATTTGCTTCAACCAACCTGTTTGCAACTGGAGACGAATACAATCGTTTTCGACTTTTTGTTATTAACAATAAAAGACCAGATTGTATTGACTTTATCATGATCTTCGCAAACCATATAAGATTGTACCAGGCAATCAGGAGTAACATGAGCACAACGTTCATGAGCTGATACGAACACGGGATCCTATAAAGAAATTTGAACCAACGTTCCATCAAAACGTCTCGGCGGAAAAAATTAAAGAAAAGGAGAAGCTCGTCGCTCACCTTCGTGCAGACCCGACTCAAATCCTTAACGTTACGAGTTTGAGTGGCAGAAAATAACAGCGTCTGGCGCTCCTTGGGTAAGTTGGCAACAATGGCATTAACCTAAATCTGTACCATAAATAAGAAAGATGTGATTGCTTTTCCAGAAAATAACATCTATGTAGGACAAAACAGAGAAAGAACATGCAGAAAATAACAAGAAAAATTTTGATTGGTGAAGTTGATGAGCTGTAGGTAATTCAGGCAATAGGATATAAGCACGAACTTGCTGGCTAAATCCCATGTCAAGAATCCGATCTGCCTCATCGAGCACTAGTATCTGTAGCTGTTCGCATAATAGTTGTTCATTCTCGTCCATGTGTTGCAGCAGCCGACCAGGAGTGCAGATTATAATATTAACCCTACCAATACGATTTCTTTCATAGTCAACATCAGTTCCTGAAGGACATTTGTCATGATGGAATCGAGCTCTTCGTAAATTTTTTTCTCATAATTCTGTATCAACGAGGTTTCTAGGTGAAATTTCATTGATGGCCCAACGTTTCGACCAGATCTTCGATCTCAGAGACCTGAACGTAGCTCAAGATTTTAGTTTAACTTCTAACCATCAAACGCCTTCTTACGTAGCGTTTGCGAAGGTACTTTAAGAAGCAATCGAAAACGTCCCATACCACCTACAATCCTCGCTGACACAGAAGTATTACATCGAATTTACGAGAATGCAGAGGCTATGAAGAGAGAAGCTATGCACTATTGGTAAACGAGGACCTTCGTCTAAACACCAACCTCCAATAAGTAAAGCACACGAGAAGTCGTGATATTTTCCGACATGATTTATGACCGTGAAAGTTTGAAGAGCGAGCTCCCTGGTAGGAGCAATTATTAGTGCTCCTAGTCCACAGTAGTTGGACCATCCTGATCTCCAGAGAGACTCCAACACCTTAAGATATTACAAGTTGAGGAAATACAAATGTCATGACATGCGAACCACGCCAATGAGTGAGGGTGAGGGAAATGATTAAAAAGACGTCATCTATTTTCTCGGATATCCAGTCACACCGCAGCATGCACTCTTGACGACTCGTGCGTATATAAGCAGGGTCACCAAAAGACACAAACTCTTAGCAAGCGTTCATACTTCGCGATTCGATCGCTTAGGCGAGCATGACCATGAGCGCTCCGCCGCCAATCGGTGCATCGCCGCAACAATATGTTATGAATCTAAACTCTCTGAAACGTTCCAACAAAAAAGACTCACAAATAGATGGCGGAACGGTATAAAAAAGAAACAATGATGTATTCATGCATGGTATGAACAAGGCCCAAATGAAACTCCGCCGTTGGGGCGATTCACAGATGAGGGATCCTAGGATGTGTCGCATCAGTCGCTCGAGCGATGCGATCAAGCGATATAAGCGATCTAATCGCGTCGTACCACGAGTATGAACGCGCCTTTATTTGGTCTGATATTCTATTTGGCGAGGAAATCACCTAGAAGCCGAGCAAAATATAAAAAAAAACATGACCTCGTTCCTGTGAGACATTCGCAGTGCAGAGAGGATGAGCTGCTCTATCTCAGAAAATGAGGTAAATGACGAAACGAAATCTTACCGGGATGATGAGCGCAAGTGTTTTGCCGCTTCCAGTTTTCGCTGCGCCAACAACGTCTAGACCTCTGAGTGAAAAAGGCAGGGATTCCCTTTGAATATCTGTTGGCTCCTCATATTCGCAGTCCTCAAGTCCATGGAGCGTTTTGCTCGATAAAGGGAAATCAGAGAAACGTTGGAAGCTGGAAGCGTTCGCCTGCAAAAAGTTCCATTTGAACCAATCATTGTTCTAACAGCAGTCCAACATCTTCCCATATGACTGTAATAGGACACTCTCTATTTGTCCGCTCTCTAAAGCGAATGGTGAGGTTCTCCGGTGAAACTATCTGACTTTTCCAAATAAGTGCTACTACTCTTTGCTCGCCTTTTCAGGAACTCAACCGCAAATGATCTCCGCCTATGCAAAAAGGGCAATCACCATTTAAAATAGTATTTCAAGCCTTATGCAGTGAATATGAAATTAAGGATGTCTGAGCATTAAACCACATAATCGGAAGGCATCATCTCCTTTATGATAAACAACTTACTTTCGCTAGCCCTCTGCACTGCTCTATAACTGACTCCATTTCTTTGACTTCTTCATCCTTTTTTGATGCTTTCGCGACTCCAACCTTCTTGAAACGAGGCCGACCCTTGTGTTTAGGCACTCCATAGAATGCAGCACGTCATTATTGGCACCTAGAAACCCTTTTTTGTAAACTAGAGCAACTGTTCCCGAAACTGTGAGTGAGCAGAACAAATTTCGCAAAACTGTGGAAATCTTTTATGAAAACCGCTGGAAATTCCAAGTTGCAACTTGGCGACAGAGCATTTATTGTCAACGGAGCGCGGTGTCCTTGGCGAGAGAGCAGATTCCTCTAGCCGTCGAGACTCTCCGGCTCTCTCCCACTTGGCTCGATGTGGCGATTAGGTCGAAGCGGTAATACCCCTCCTTTCCGAGAAGAGTGGAACAGAACTCGGCACTGTTCAACTATTACTACTCCAATCCTCCTAAAACGGGCCTGATCGACTTTTTTTACGGGGGCAGATTTGGTTGGTTTATAGTGATAATTCGACCTCCTGAACACGAATATCACATCCGCTCCTCCCGAAACTGCCTGCCGCTGAAAACCTGTGCCCTGGGGTAGTTCGAACTCCTGAACCCGAATATCATATCCGCTTGGCGCTCGTGCCACAGTTGAATAGTGCCTAAAACTCTAATATCTTCACATGCAGCTTAGTAGTTCGAGATCAAGTTGACACACATGATCGATTTAGCCTGTTGGGATGAGATCAAAGCTGTATTGTCATGGACTCCACCCAAATTTATCCATGGAATAGCATGTAATTGTAATCGTACTTGTAGTAATCGATATCGACTATTACGAATGCTATATATTGCGCATAAGGCGCCAAATCTGTTGGGATGGCGTAGAGAGCGGATACGGGATCTCAGGATTCACATGAAAGCATTTATTCTAAGCTGTTTCCTCCCTTTACGTCCATGAACTTCGGCTCGTCTATACCAGTATTCGTGCCATCACAGCAGAGAGGCCGCGACGTGGCGGTTTATATCTTCCCCCACGACCGGGAGTTCTGTTATGAGTTCAGCTTCAAGAGGATGCTTGCGGATGGAAGCACCCATGTGTACATCTGCTGTGGTTGTTTGGCACTAAAGTGTTCAGATCGCAGACGGTAGACTCAAACGGTGCCTTCGTGCAAAATATGGCGGGGAGCAATTTGCACCGAACCCCGTTTACACCGTAACCAACGATTTTTGTTGAGCCGATGAGCCGAGAACAGCGCCAGAGCGCTAGATCGCAGGCTTTTGACGCTGCTGCTTCAAAGGAGGAACGATCTGATGGAAACACCTATGGAACAGCATCTGCCCGCCTCTGTCGAAATTTGGGATTTTAACGAGGATCGAAAACTATTGTTTGCTAGACTCGCCTCGTCTCTGGCACCAGTAATAGATTTATTGCAGCTGATTTGACTGTCCCCGAAAGGAGAGCAATGGTAGAGCTTATAATTGTGCCCACGGACCACGGAATAAATAATGTGGAATATGGCTAAAAAAGAATCCAGAGAGCGAAACTATGTTGACGTCACTCCTGGTCAAATTGTTAGTTAGTCGTAATCAATCGATTATCTTCTCATATGCATAAGCTTCTGTTTTAAGGATAGAACACTATGTAGATGCGCTGCAGACGGCGAGGAATTTATTCTCGTGGACGAAGAAGACGCCACATACTTTGCCAGTCGCTCGCTTTTGGCCGCCTTCGCGGACGTGCCAAATGTCGGCTGTCTTGCTGTAAGTTATTTACTGATTGAATTGAGATATTCGTGCAAAATTGCCATTTCAGTGTGATGGACGCCACAAGCAAATACCAAAAGATGTTCGCCGCAGCTCATCGTCACAGATCTACACGATTCTGGCGATTCTGGAAGAGTTGGGGAGGCAATTGCCACATGGTGTACGCCTCATTTCGATGGAACTGATCACTATAGGACTTTTCAGGTGCCTGTGGCAGCCTAGTATCAAATTTTTTTTTTTTTCCATTTTTTGGGCGGTGATGAAGCTTTCAGGAACTGCCTATTTCTGACCGACTTCGAGCTTCCTGCCATGAACGCCGCACAGGCAGAAATGCCAGTACAGCTAAAGGGGTAAGCCTTAACTTTAGGGAAATTCTCATGCGAGAAGTTATTAGTCATTTCAAGCGCTTTTTTCCATAACACAATGCATGTTCGCAAAACGCGACCTGGACTCGAATACGAGCGTCTCGAGGAAAAACGGAGCCAAGCTTTTTCAGACGAATCTAGATGTTCCCCCTATTGCCCCTTCAATTTCGTCGCTTATCTGAGGTCCTCATAATGCCGCCACCGCCACTGTTAATATAATCAAGAATTCGGCTTAGGTCTAAGCGTTTTGCGTTTGACTTACTGCTTTGACATTTTGGGAGTGGAGGTCGTTTTGAAAACCTTTGGGACCATTCTTCTAATAAGGACGACCAATTTTGTTGAGGGTTCCCACACCAAAATAAGGGCTACGTTCACACGCGGGAACCCGATACTCTTACAGATGATGTGCTTCGTCAAAAGTCAGCTGACCGCTGTAAAAGCTCTGGTAGCCCATTAGGAGATGGTTCCCTTGCGCCTCGATATGTGGCTCCCCACGAAAAACGGCGTCAAGAAGAAGTCAAGCAGAGAATCACCGGATTCGCTGAAGCACACCTTGCTGCAGGATCCGCCTTGCCCACTTCCAGGCAATGCAAGGATTTTCTTGATTACCCCGCAGCCAGACTTTCCCACTGAAGTTTTATGGTTGTTCCTGATCTTTTTTTATTCCTACTCACTTTCTATAATTCCATGACTCACTTTTTATGCCATTAATTGCTGTTTAAGTGGTTGCCTCATATTTTCACTCATTCCACGGTGCTTTACTCTTTATATAGACGCTTTCTGTTGATTCATTTCTTTCCCAATCTCAAACAATTATCCTGGTGTTTTCTGTCACTGTTCTGTCTGCGACAGCCTTATTACCAAAACGGGCCTTATATCACGTGTCTTGTACAGACTAGTTTGTATTTTATCAGTGAAGAGTAGATTGCTGTTAGCAGAGAAATTCGGTGATTGTTTATTTTCTTTGGTGATTGTATAGTTAATTGGTATCGAATTTTGAAGATCGATCGTTTCGTCCTATACATTTTTTCTTCGTTACTATCGTGACCTCATTTTGTTCATTCCCCTTTATAGAGAGCTTATCCTTGTTTATTGTTAAGACCAGTCGGATCGCACGGCTCACGCCGTACTCTCCTCCTTCTCTTGAGCTTGGCTTCGCCGAGACTGGCCTGGCTTCGCCAG